AAAATGGCCTGGGGTTGTTATGAAAAATAAAGTTACTTGAGCAGGATTTTGGCCAGGACATCGGGATGGGGATTCCTATGTTTGAAAAAAATGTCACTGACATTTCACAGGAATTAAGTGGCCTCTTAGATTAGAATTGAATCTCCAAGAGAGAGAACGACTGCCTGCTCTCTTCAGAACATGTGTGCAGGTCGATACTCAGCACAAAATCAAAGTTACAGGTTCTGAATTAGAACAAAGTGACCTCCTCCACCCCTGCTCCTCCTCCTGCCACTTCACCCTTTGCCAACAAATGCAAGTTTCCATCTCAGATGCATTTCTTAGAGCCTTGGTGTGTCTTTCACAAATATATGTTTGTATTGTTACAGAGGGATCTGAGCTGCAATTAAAACCCAGCTCACAATCCAGGCTTCAGGCTTACATTGGTGAATAGAAAGGAGAGCAGCAAAGTTTGGATTTACACTTTGTCATGTTGATGGATACAGGGAGGCATCACACCCACCAGCCTTCTATTATCACATCCAGCTGCTCCACACAGCATTTAAAAATGAAATACAAATAATAATTTTAAAATAAACAGTGGATGGAGATTACCTCTTCCAGTGTACTTTAAAACATAAGCTTAAGTAGCAACTGCTCAATAGGAAAGAAGGAAAATATCACTATAACATTACAGGAGGCTGAAGGTCAGGCTATTCAGAGCTGAGAAGGGGAAGATACATCCAGGACAGCATGGGTATGGCAGAGAAGGAAACCATAGGAAAGGACTATGTGGGGGACTCAGGAGGGAAGCCACATAAGTAAGGTAGGAGCCTTCACTTTCCTTGACAGCACTGCCAGTGAAAGGCCACTCAGACAGCACATCCTTTGCAGAGACAGACAAGAACTTATGTCCTCATTTTGTTCTGCAACATCACCCCTTTTGAAATAAGCAAGCAAAAAAATAAAAATAACCAACCAACCAAAAACCACGAAGGGCAAACAGATGCTGGGCAGGAGCAGATCCATCCCTGCTTGTACAATAGCTCAGAGGAGCAATCAACTCAGTAAAATCAGCTGCAGTGGTATTGCTGGGGTGTGGAGAGGTGAAGTTATTTCTTCAGCATGACTTGGGCTGCCCAAAAAAACCTGTTCCCAGCCAGGATTAGACCACACAACCCCTCCAGAAAGCCTAGCATGCAGAGTAACACAAGGCACTACACACTTCTCTGCCTCTGAAGTGAGGGGGGTGAACAAACACCAAATTATAAGAATATTGGTGAATCCAGTTTTCAGTTAGAGGGAATTTATGTTAGACCAATTAAATAGTATGTTAATTCCCTCTAATTATATGTTCCTGCAGCCTACCCAGTAATTATATTTAATGGGTCTAAATCAAATCAGCATGTTATCTGAGAAATAATTGGATTTGTGAGCAATTTTTTTAATGAACCTGAAAGGTACCCTGGAGATTGAAATCCTCTGTGTGTTCAGGGTTTGATCCTAGGCTTCCGAGCGTGTTGGGTGTTGATCTCAGGCTACACTGGCCCTGACAAATTATATGTTCTCTGGCCCTGCAGCCACCTGGGACAGCACACAGCCATTCTCATCAACTTTTTTAGCCTTTAAAGCAGGGTGGCTGTACCCACACTTCCCACTGGAAACCATCTGTAGCCAGTGCTAAATGCCAGGCTGCACCTACACTAGCAGAGAACAACTCCAGCTTTCACTGCTACAGCACCATGTCCCAGCCTTGACCTGCAGGGAACCCTCTGGGCACTCTCCACTGAGGATGCAGAGAGGAAGATGATTTGCAGAGGCATCTCCAAGTTTAGAAGCACAGGTCATAGCTATGCTCTGCTGAAGCCTGTCCTGTGCTTTTGAACATCTTCCCAAAAGGTGTTTGTATTGGAAACTAAGGCCACATGCTACAGGAAAATAAAATAAAATAAAAGCTAAGCCTCTCTACACTTCAATGAACCTTGGCTCTCAAATCACATAGCAGCAATAAATAAGCCTCACTTGCCCCAAACTGAAACAGAATAGAGCATTTTATTGATTATTTCTGATCTCCTTAAACATACTACACCTTAAAGGTACACACAGTGTGTTTCATTTGTTTATTTATTTATTTATTTACAGGCAGAGAGAATACTCAGGACTGACTGACAGTTGACATTGAAACACAGTCCCATGCACATATCTGAGCCTTGTGCTCTCCTGATGTCCACTGGACATCAGATCACACCAGCCATTGAATTTCTCATGGCTTCTAGTTAAGCACACACTTCTCTGAACTATTTCTTTGAATGTCTAGAGAAGGTGAATGACAACACCCCTGCAGGAGTTTTTCCTGCTGCCAGCAAAAGCATTCTCAGAGGGATTACTGCAGTAGAGATTCCTCTCACTGCCCTGCTCCCTGGAACACCACCATTTCTAATATCTGAGGCCTTCAGTTTCAGGACAATTTACTGTCCTCCATCTCCTCGAAATTCTGCCCATGAGAAACCAAAATAGCACCCTGCCTTGTGAGTGAACCCCATGCAGCCAGTGATTATCAAAACCACTGGATTTCAAATGCAAGGTAATGTCAGAGAGACAAAACTGCTGTGACAGTGGCTGGAGGGGTTGTCTGCACCAGCTAGTTGTTCTTCAGCAAAGGTACAAGTAAATGCCACCAACTTCAGATTTACTTTCTTTCAAGGAAGTCTTTCCTTTTAGAGAACTATCTCTATTCAGGGGCTTTTCAGGGCTCCAACATGACTCTGAGAGTGGGAGGGCTTGGGCATCTTCATCTTACATTCAAAATGCCCTGTCCAAATTCGGCAGGTCACTTCCCAAAGCATCTTTCATATCTCTATAAAGAAAAACTCACACTCATTTTACCTAGGTAGGCACTTAACCAAGGCACCTACTTCATCTGGCTCCCTCAATAGGCAAAGGAAGGAAATAAATGTCTCCAAAAGAAAATTCAGACCTTAAATGGTTTCTTACTAAAATACTTCTGCCATGTCTACTGTTAAGAAGGAAAAATTCAGGAACAGAAACACAGGCCCAAAAAATGACATTTAAAGTCATGGATCAAACCATGTGCCAGGCAGTGAGCTCTTGGCAAGGACACCTTGGTGTTCTTTGGACTCCCCAGAGCAGATAAATACTCACAGCTTTTGGGATCAGCTTTTAAACATGAAGGGCTTGAATTGGATTCATTTACAGCTCATAACCTGTACTTAAACACTCAAAACTAAAAGAAAACAAAACAAAACACTCCACCAAAATGTATGATGGTCCTGTATTTTACATTCTATGGATCGATCATTCTTCAGTCTTCTCATCAACCTTCTCCCTACAGCATGGCAAAAAGCCTTACCAAACCATTACTGAACTCACACAAACACTAGATTCCATTTCTGACACTCAAAATTAACATTTTGAATCATTAAGGAAAGGTTGACCATGCCCTGGTATCTCTGTGAAAGGCCAATCCTCACATATTTTCAAACCTTGCTATTAATCCAGGCTCTGATTAAAAGCTTGCCCAGCCACCAAGATACAATAAATTGTGTCAGGTTATCCTGTTTCACCCTGCAAAATTGGAGCTGCCTGAAAAATGTCTTGGGGAAATGTTTTCAAGCAGCTTCCCCTGCTCTCTTTCAGGAAAATCACTTAACCAGTACACACGTAAACTCCTTCTTTTCCAGCATATCTGTAATTAGCAAAGAATGCCAAGCCATAAATATTTATGCACAGATGGGATCCTGAGCTACCTTCAGAAGTTCAGCACAGGCCTCAATAGTCAGATTTCTCAAGTGAGCTTTAATACAAAACCTGCAGGTTTAGGAGGACTTGCCAGAACACACTGCTAATCACCCCTCTCTCAGGGATGCAGTTCTCACCCAACAAGGGATCTTACAATAACTTGCAAAAACCCCACAAAAAAAAATGCAGGTGCTTCATTACCTACTTTTCATTTGAATTCCTCACAAATCTTGCCAGATCCCTTCCATTCATTAGCACAGGCCTCTGCGTGCAAAAAGCCCCCTGTGCTGCTGACAGAATGTTTCTTCTTTTGTTTCAAACCTTTTCTGAAATCAGGTCTGGTTTTCCTCCCTGTGCAAAGTTTTTTTCTTTTTTTTTTTTTTTTAATTTCTTCCTCTAAAATGTTGCTGATGTGACACTGGAACCAAGTCAGTTATATAACCTAAAAACCATGGGATTAGGCTGGTTTGAAATGCCACGTCCAGACTATTAATTCAAAGAGAGTCAGATCTCCGGCTGGAATCAGTCACCACAGTCTGGACCTGTTTATCTCCAAACTAACATGTCTGCTTCCAAACTGCTGATGGGGAATGGTGCCTAGGCTGTGCAAACCCCCCAGTGGGGCCAGGAATTGGCCAAGGGGAAGGTGTCTGCCTTGGGCCAAAGCACCAGTGGGCTCAGTCCCTGCAGCACACACGGCTGCACCCCCAGCAGCCAGGCGCCAGCCCCCGTTCATCGAAACACAAAACACGAGTTAACAGCTCCCAGCCTGACCTGGGAGCAATTAAAAGCTGCCTTGTGGCGTGGCAGGGACAGGTGAGCTTCCCCTTGCACCACCATCTTCAGTGTCTGCCCTAGGTACCCAGGTCTGAAGTCTTTGCCCACGCAGACAGCTCCCTTTCCCTCCGGAGGGCAAGCGGAGAGGGGACACGTCCCACCAGGACAGAAGGGTGGTTGTAGAAGGGAGCAGAAGCAGCCCACCCACCGCCAGCAGTGTGAGCTCAGTGTTGGCAAAGGCTTTCCCTGGCACCTGCAAAAACAATCTGCAGCTCGGGCTGCTGGCAAGGAGGAAGGAGCTGGAGCAGCAGCATCCCAGCCAGGCAGCCGGAGAAGGGCAGAGGGGAAACCGCTCCACGCCACGGGGGGTTGTGTCACACCAAAAATAAAGGTGGAAGGCAACAAAACGTCCTAGGAGGCCTCTCTGGCAAGTATGAAGGATGAAAACAGTTTGGTCTCATCAGAGTTGACGGCGAGATACTTACTTGGCCTGCACTTGTACCACACGATGAGGTACTTGCTGGTCCCAGGGCACGGGTCTGCGCCAAAGAGCCGGCTATTGACAAGGAACTGGCAGCTCCGCCTGTCCTGGCACTCGTCCAGCACCTTCTGCAGCCAGGGATGCACACAAAAAAAACCACAGAGAAACAGAAGTACTTCAGTATCTCCACCAAAGGGATCATCAAACAGAGACAAGCTGGAGCAAGGACGTACTTGCCCCCTCAACCGGCCCTAGCATGAAGCAGGGAATGGTGCTCCATGCAGCGGGCGCTGCAGGAGCCTTGGACCAGGGCTAAAGGTTTGGAGGACTAAGCCTTGCACTGTTTTGAGGAGGCACCATGTCTTTTGCCTTTCATGCATGCATGCAACAGGAGGGAATTTCTCTGGGACAGTCACAGAGATTTTGAAACTTTTGCATGCAGTTTAACCATGGTATAAGGCAGTACTTGTCCCAGGAAAAGCAGCTTTGAGGGTTTGAAGCAGCCTTAACAGTTAAAAGCCCCATGGCTGTTGTTGTTCCTTTTAGCTAAACTCAGCAAGGGCCTGCAAGTCAGAGGGTCCCCCCAGAGATGGCATTTTGGGTCTTTTGCTGCACTGCTTTTCTTCTAGCACTCAGTCCCCACTTGCCCATTCACAACACTCTTAAAAACTCCATCTCAGAATCCACAGGGGGAAGACATTCTGTCTCCTGCTAGAAAATAGCTTAATTAGGGAAGATTAATTATTTCTTTTAACCCTACAATCCTCTAAAGCAGTGGTGGGGGAAGAAAATATTATTAAGTGGGGCAGTAATTAAATTTTAAATTCAGCTGGATGGCTTAGGTGGTATTTATGTGCTTCTGTATAGCCCCTAAAGCACTAAAATTACCACTGAGTTTGCCTGACACACATGAACCTGTCAGAGCATTTTGAGACCACAGAGCGAGGTAATTCACCAGCCTTGCTGAGTCCCTGGGATACAGAGCTGTGAATTCCAGTCCCAAAACAATTACTTTTAACCTGCAAGGAGGCACTGGAAAATTCTTTCTGAGAAATTCCCCTAGATTCCCCCAGTCTCTTTTGTCTTCTCCGTGTTCCCTTTCTTTGCACCCATTTGACATGTGGGCTTTCCCACAATCTTATCCCTGTGCCATTAATATAAAGGCTGTTCCTTTTCTACCACACATTACCCAAACCAATTTTCTCTCTGCCTCAGTGACTGCTCTCTGGTTTTGAGTTCTCCCAGAATGTAAACATAATACATATAATCTTCAGCATTATAACTCTGCATGTCACCCTCCAACAACAGGAACAACAGCCATTCCAGTTTCAAGTGCAATTTGAAACTGCCTCATTTGTGGTTGATCCTAAAGCTTGCACCTTTTGGGCTGACACATGCCAGAATTTGTGACTGCCTCAAGCCTGACCTTTATTTTAAAATTCAAACCAAGACAATTCAGGCCTTTTCTAGCAAGCAGAGAACACATGCTGTTGCTTTCTACTTACAAAGCTAATAAAATGCAGGCATCTTGTTTCCAAATACAGGGCTCAGGGTGGAAAGGCTGAAGGGTGGACATGGAAGGAGGTGCCTGGGAGCATTAGCCCCAACTTGACTGTCATGTTAAAATGCATAGAAACAGGATGTTCTTTCCTCTAGGCTCATGAAGATTGACTGCTCACTCAGCATGTGAAATTTAATTTAATGCAAAATCCAGTGAGCTGCAAAGGAATTTAAGCAAGGTCTCTGTGCAGACACCTCTTTTGATCTCAAAAGGCAAAGAACAACAGAAACAACTCTGGAGTCCTTCACACACAGAGAGAAATCTTCTCCAAATCACTGTGGAACTGAAAGGATCTACTTTCCTTACAGAGAGGGTGATTAGACATTGGAATGGACTTCCCAGGGAAGTGGTGGAGGCACCGTCCCTGGAGGTGTTCAGGGAAAGGCTGGATGTGGCACTTAGTGCCATGGTCTGGCTGATGTGGTGGTGCTGGTCATAGGCTGGGCTTGATTATCTTAATGGTCTTTTCCAGCCTTGATAATTCTGTGATTCTGTAGTGCTGGACAGCCAAGGCTGTGTTTACACCCAAGCAGTGCTAGGAATATGCAGCAAAGGGAAAGAAGCAGTGCCCTGATTATTTTCTTTCCCACAAAGGAAGCTTTTTTCCCTTCCAAGGCAACAGACTCAGGTTTTCTGTCAGCAAACGTTTACAGCAGATGGGTGGGATTTTCAAAAGCCTTCAGTCTTGCCTTATAGGACCTATTAAAACCAGTGGGAAAACCACCCTGGGTTTCAGCAGAGACTGAGTTAGGCCAACAAGAGGCCTCTTTGAAAATCTCAGCTTTAATGCCTAAGCAGCACTTGTTCATCTGTCCAGAGGTTCAGCACCAGGTGTGAAGGCAATTACCAACCTCAGAGAACAACGAGCATGGGCAGCCTTCTCTTATTGCCACTTTGTCTTGCACTGCTCTAACTTTTGGCAGCTCTTGCTTACTCCATGTATTCCACATAAGTGAAACCTCCTGAGCTTAATTCCCACAGTATGCAAAGTAACACAGAGCCCTAGGAAGAAGTCTGTGCCTAAATTAGGGAGCAAAAGTCATCTATGCCATTGTGAGACCACAGAAAAAGGGAAGTGTTCTTGGGGTTTGAATATATGCCCTTTACTAATTGGTTTTAGTCCTTAGCTACAGTTTCAACTTGATCTGATAATGGCCATGATTCTGAAAAGTTATTTTGTAGGAGGAGAGAAATTACTATTTCCTTCTCATTCATATCGTTCTAAGGACAACGATTTTCCTGAAAAAAGTAAAAAATCATTAAGATTTCCAATTTCCTTCAGACTTTTTGAGTGAAATCTTGGGAGTAATGCAATATGTCCCTAAAGAGTAGAATAAATTGTAAAAAATAATAAATTTAAAAATAAAAAAATTTAAAAACAGGTTTGATGCTCAGTGAAATTCATCAGGAAAAAATTCAAAGAAAATTATCAAAGGTTTGCAGTGCCACATTCTTGATTAAAAATAAAGAACAAAGATGTTGCACCAGCCCTAACTAACTTAAACATTTGCACATACCATTTTTACCTATCCTAGCATTCAGTGAATTCTTCTTCCTCACTGCTTTCATCAGTATGTGCTACATACCAGCATCTTCTTAGAACACCAGGCAACACAGAGACTCTACAGAACATGAATGACAAGATGATCCACTACAGGTACAGTTCCCCTGCAGGTCCAGTGCATCTGGTGTTTACAGGGGCCCTTACAAACCACAGGCTTGACTTTCTGGTCTTGCACTCAAAAATCCTACTTCTAGGCACTACCAGAGCTCTGACAGATGTCAGATGTCGTTTCTGATGGATTTGCAGATGAACAGTTGATTGACACCAGGAAGGCTGTGAATATAGTTGAGTGAGGGAATGCCCTGAGCTCATATGGCTTTTGCTTAATGGCTGGAAAAATGTAGGCAATTCATTCTGTGATTGCTTTGGTTTTCCACTGTCACTGTCAGCTGTGAAGGTGGGAGAACACAACCACAAAAACAAACAAAAAGAGACCCACAAAGTATCTGAACTCACACAGAAGTAGTAGTAGACGTGCAGAATCATCCCTAAGTGGGATGGATAATCACTGTTTATGTCATTGCCAGCTTATAGACCCCTGATTAATGTAAAAAAAAAAAAGTCACATTGGATTAGATTGTATTATAAAAATCACTTCAACTGAAGAAGATGGAGGAGGAATTCCTGTCTGGCATGAAAGGGGAGGGAAGACACATTAATTGCATTATGCCATTTTATAATTGTGTTCCAGTGGTAAATCAAGCCTGAGGGCTGACAGCCAGTGCTCTGGAGGGAAGCTGTGGTTGTTTAAACCCATTCCATTCTCTGGTTCATGACTGAGCTAAGAAGCTGCAAGATTTAGAGGAGATAAGAGAGTAAGAAATGTGAATTCAAGTAAAACAAACACTAATCTAATCCCTGTGATTTATGCTCTGGATTAATCTCACTGCGGTGACCCGCATCTTAAAGCAAGGGCAGCCTCAAGCTCAAAACCATGTCTTTCTAGTGGGCATTGCAGATGAAACACATTTCTCGTGCTCATTTTGTTGTGCTCATTAGCTAAGTAATTGCTTGTGCTCATTAGATAACAACCTTTTAAATCTGGAACTGGATACAAGCTCTGCAACAACACTGTCCTCGGCCATTCCCAAGGGTGCACTCATTTTTATTCTGTCTCTTCCAATCACTCTTCAAGAAGTGCTTTCCTTGCACACTTTCTTAAAATAAACTACACTGAGCTTAACACCCAAGGCAATTAAACTTATCTCAGCTCTAAGTCCCTTATAGTAGTTCACAGATTCAATACAAGGTGAAACTTTGGACCCATGGAAGCCAATGGTGAAACTCAATGGGAACGAGGATTTTGCCACAGGGCTGTTCTCTGTACATCATTAAAGAAACATAAGGATGACTGCAGGGCACATCACTCAGGCATGAAATTACACAGAGGAACCCCTCTAAATAATTACCAAAATTGTATGTTGCTGAGGAGAATAACTCAGAGAGCAAACTGAATGGCTCAGAGCTGTGTGGAGTCAAATGAATCTGGGCAGAGATTTGTACTAAGAATTTTACAAAAGAAAATACCAGCAGTTTTTAAAACTATTATTAAGCATTTTTAGGTCAAACTCAGTCCAGGTAGTCATTCTGGTGGTTATACCAACACTTACATTGAAGCACCTCCATGAGTTTTGCAGATTGCACATTGAACTCGATTCATTCACTCAAATTCATGAAGTCCACAGATCTAGATGATTTTCAAAAGATCAGCAACAGTGAATGAGAGCACATGAGGGAGCTAAATCTATGTTGGTGAGATACAGGTTACCTGCTTATGGCTTCATCAAGCAACCTTCCCAGACTGCTTCACTAGAAGTAATTCAGCTTTGTCCAAATGATTGCATTCAAAATGTGTGTCTCATGAAGAAGAGACCAGAGGCCTTAAGTCCTGACTGCAGGTTTTAGCTACTACCTGCTGTTACCACTCTCCCATGGACCTTGCAATGCTCACAGTAGAGTCAGCAGGAGGGAGCTATGCCCACACATTTGGTGTCTCAAGTTAA